GGCGGGCGCGCAGAGCGACGGGCACGCACTAAGGCGGCCAGGTCGCGCGCCCGCCGCCACGCCCGTGCACACGCGGGACACACGCGCGCGCGCGGCCCGAGTACACGTGCGCTCACACACCCACCCACGCACGCACGCAGCCACGCACAGCCCCTCTGTACACTCAGTGCCAGGTGCCCGCCCCCACGCAACAGGTGGGCTTGCCGTGGGCCCTGGCACCTCACCGCCTCTGTAGCCACCCCATTTCCTTCCGGGGGGGGGTCTAAGGAGGAAGGGAGAACCCCAGATCCTGATCTGGACTCCGCAGCACCCATTTTTGGTCTGGTTAGAGCAGCTTGGCACCCCTCAAACTTTACCCCTCTATAATGGTTTTTTAACCACCCCTATGTGGCTGATGGTGATGGAGTGACCCTGGAATGCAAGGATAGCCAGGCATTTTTCATTTCAAATAAGCGCGCATTTGACCTCCAAGACAGAAGGATGCTGCTTACCTAACGAGTGTGTTCCCTATATCCTCCCTACTTTGCTAATGCGGCAAGGGTGTGGAGCCCTGCGTTCTGATGGGTTCTGCTGGATATGTAGCATTTGGGTGAGGTTTCCCAGGCCCTCTTACCATCCCAGCTGCCTCCAGCAGCACCCCACCACTCCCATGAGTATTCGCATTTGGGGTTGAGGCTGCAACCCTCAGAAACTCATCCTTGCCCCTCCATAGAGTGCTTCTGGGACCCCAGTTGCGCTGTGCTTTGCAGTTGACTTTCCTGATAAGCATGAGGAGTGCTAGACTGAAATCATGAGGACCTGTCCCCATGGGAACCGGACCAGGCAAGCTCCTTAATCACCAGTGCAGGAGGGCTGGCTTCTGGAGGTGACCCCGAAGTCGGCTGTGTTTAGATGGAGGCCTAGGGGTTGGAAGCAGGCTGGTAGTGTTGAGACAGGGCTGGAGAGTCTGGAAAGGCTGCCGAGGAGGCCCCCATCTCCATCAGCTGAGCTGGCTTCCCAGAAGGTGACTGTCATGTGACAATCTGTCTGCCTCAGCACCCTTCTGCCGGGAAGGAGCGGAGCGGAGGAGTCCCATAAGCCACCAACGACCCAGTCTCCTCCTGGCTTGCTAATGGCCGCAGGGGGTGGGGAAACCCACTTGCTGGAATCCCCCTGCCTGGAAGTGTGCAAGTCAAGGTCAGATTCTGGAGGCTGTAGTGCAAGAGCCAGGAAATACATGTGTGGAAGAATTAGTTCAAGGTGTTCACTTTGGGTTCATAATGCCCTCCCTCTTTTGATGTTTTTTCCTGCGATATATTTTCATTCCAATTTCTTTTTAAAAATTTGAGACAGGGTCTCACGTAGTCCAGGCTACCCTCCAGCTCACTATATACGTGGGAATGGCCTTGAACCTTTGATATATCCCTACGTCCACCTCTAGAGTTACAGGTGTGCACTATCATGCCTGACCATGACAGCTTTTCAAGTTTTGGTTTATTTAGCTGTCTGTCACCTGCTTTCTCCCATGAACTGGAAACTACACTGGAGAGATTTTTGTCTTGATTCCCACTGTGTTAGTGGGGTGCTTGAAGTCTGGACCATCACCAAATAAGTGTGGAAAGAGCTATGAATGGCGGAGTGGGCCCAGGCCAGGGGTGCTTTATTAACACAGCCTCAACGAACCCTGGCTACCCATGGTACAGTGCACTGTGGGCATCTGGCTTGTCAGGCTGCTCTTCCCCCATGGTGAGATGTTAGAATACACTCCTCTCTGTCTTGGGACCTGGACTGTCAGCGGGGAGGGAGGAGGTGGAAAGACACAGAAGGAGGAGCAGGGCTGGGCCTCAGTTTCTCCCACCTACCATGTGGAGCAGATTGGACTCATTCAGTGTTACGAATAATAGGGGAGTTGGTGCCTCTTGAGTTGAGGTGGAGGGGCAGTGATGGCAAGGGGGCCCCCAGGGTGGCACATCCTGGGGACAGGTCCTTTCCTTCCAGCTTTGACATTGTCTTCTCTTGCTCTAACCGAGATAGAGGAGGCTGCTGGGCTGGGCTGGGCTGGGCTGGGGTTGCAGGAACAAGTGGAGAGTGAGCGAGAGGTTAGTCCCAGGAACCAGGATGGGGGCTGCTGGGTAGAAAAGCTGGCCCCGGAAGGCCTCTATGGTGTGCCCAGAAAGGGCTTCTTCAAAGAGCTCGTCTTTGCCATCTCGTCTAAATACGGCCTGAGACGCAAGCAGGCAAGCAGGCGGGCTTAGGAGGCCTTGTCAGCTTCTGCCTTTGCCAGCCACAGACAACGCCCTGGGTGCTGGGCAGGGAGCCCGTCTCCCTCATTAGTGTGGCAGCAGGCTGCGGAGTGTGTATCCCCGCCTGTGTGTGTGTGTGTGTGTGTGTGTGTGTGTGTGTGTGTGTGTGTGTGCTGTGCTGGGGCCCAGGTGGAGGGTGGGGTTCAAGCCCTTTTGATCTGCCAGCCTGGCTGGGAGCAGGTAACTCACCTGGCCTCACGCTAGCTCGCTAGCTCGTGCCTCCTGCAGCTGGCGTTGGGGGCGGGGCAGGGAGGAGGCTGTTTCTCTTGGCTGCCAGGCTGGCTTGGCCCCAACTGCTTCCATGCCACACCCTTGTCCTACCAGGAGTCCCAGGTCTGAGATCTGGGGCAGCTTCTTCAAGCTGTCAGGTTCCTTTCCTGTGCATGGGGGTGCCCACCTAGCGGCTTCTGGGGTAGCTTCTTCAAGCGGTTAGGTTTCCTTTCCTATGTATAGGGTGCCCACCTAGAGGCTTCCAGAACCTGTGGCCGAAAATTCAGGCTTCAGCAGCTCCCTATTGGGGGTGGGTTACTCCCAAACACAGGGACTCTGACTGCAGACATGGGCTCCGGAGAATCTACCCAGAGCACTGCATCCTGGAGTAGACCTCAGGCTAACTAACTGTTCACACCCCCAGTCCCGGAAGAGACCCACCGGCCCACGGGGCACCTGGTAGTGTCAATGTGGAGCTAGGTGCCGTTTCCTGTGGCCCAGCGTGGGGGATAGTGCAAAGCCACACTCGGCCCCGGGGGACCGCAGCTCTCCACCCACCTGTCACCATCCTTGAAAGTATTGTGAGCGTCTGGCCCAGGACATGTGTGCCGGGCTGCCCTCAAGGAGCCATATAAAGAGTTGGTGAGGGCCGCAATAACAGCTCATGACATGCCCTTTATTTAGGGCTGCTCAGCTCTATACAGTTATACTTACCAGGGACCCCAGGGCCCGCTGTGGCCAACCCCATTTAAGGGAGGAGGAGGACACCATTTGTTTGTCAGTGGTGCGGGGACTGAACCCAGGACCTCACCAGTGCTAGGTAATCATTCTGTCACTGAGCTCCACACTCAAGCCCTCCCTTTGTTTATGTTCTGTGACAGGGTATTGCCAAGTGTCCCAGGCTGGCTTTGAATTTGTTCCAGAGCCCAGGCTGGCATTGAACTTATTCTTTAGCTCAGGCTGGGCTTGAACTTGCAATACTTCTGTCTTCGGCCTTCCAATAGTTAGGATTGTAGGCCCGTGCTATGATGTCCAGTTGAAGGTAAAGTTTCTGATGATGTATTCTGAGCACCCTGGTTCCCTTTACCTGGGGAGCCCCGGCTTTCCTCTATTGTGGGTTTCTCTCCCCTGGCACTGTGAGTATTTGGGGCCAGTGAGGCTATACCCTGTGTGACATCCTGCATACTGTGGGATGGTGAATAGCATTTGTTCTATGGCACCCACAGATGCCAGCAGCCTGTCTCTAGCCATGACCACCAAAAATGTCTTCAGATGGTGTCAGTGTCCCCGGGCTATAATTGAGGCCATTGCTGTAAGAAGAGATGGAGCAAGGACCCAGCAGGAATCTCAAATGATGCTGGGACCAGTGGCATCGGAACAGAGGGGAAGCATGCTTGAACTATTCCTGGTGGGTCCGGAGAGGGTAGGCATGCTATGGCCTGGGAGGGACCCACCTCTGCCACTGACTGGTTACCTAGACTTGTGGCTGTGGATTAATTTCAGTAAGCCTCAGTTTTCCCATCTGGAAGATGGGACTAACGATAATGTTAGGCTCAGGATTGTACTTTGTGCATCATTTTGTTCAGTCAGTGGCATGAAGGATCACACCTGAGATGACCCCCCCCCCCCCCCCGCAAGAGAAAGGGACAGTCCTTCACAAATTTGCCAGTATTTATTGAGCACCAGCTGAATGCTTTTCTCACCTCCACGGTGTCCATCTGGGGTCTTCCCTGCTCAGCCTCAGGGGTGAGTTTGTCTCCATATGATGGCCTCCTTTGCTTGGTAGACTGAGGCCTGAGGTGTCCACTAGGCTTGTTCAGGGCTCAGCTTGCTCTGCCTCCCTGGCAGCTCCAGCCATCCCTTGAGTGGGCAAGGAGATCCTGGCAGAAGTACCAGATTCCACCCCCTGCCCCCCCAGACTAATTGAGTCACCACTCCCAATACCTCTCATTCCCTTGGGCAAGCAAGCCACTTTACACAGCCTGGCTGGGGCTAGCCTCTGTTCCTTCTGTCACCCCCAGGCAGAATTAGAACGCAATCAAATGTCCTGACATCCCCAGTTCATAGATAAGAGCCAAGACCAGAGAGAGGCAGTGGCCAGCTAGCGGTCACTCTGCAGTGGGTAGCAGCGTGAGGCAAGGAATCTTTGAAAACCAGTTCTGAGTCTGACAAAACTCGGGGCCAGTGGCCTTCTCTAGACCAGCTTTGAATCATCTGTCCTGCACGTCTCTGCCCAACTGTGAAGGTGTAGACACTATAGGACACCAAGTCCCTGCCCCCCCACCCCAACCTCTCCTTCAAACCTCTAACATCCCTAGGATACATGGCGGATTTGTAAACTCCATGATTGAACAAAGTGACCCAGATGCTGAATGGGTCCCAGGAGCCAGATTTCAAGGTGTTATGTCCCCTCAGCCCCCAGCCTGGTGTCTCCTAGTTCCTAGGTTGACATGGGGGACAAGAGGTAGGTGTGACCAAATCCCGGAGTTTTTCTTAAACATCACCACAAGTGGCCACAAGTGTCAAGGATCACAAAGCTTTTTTTTGTGTGTGTGTGTGATATTGGGTTTCTCTGTGTTGCTCAGGCTAGCCTGGAACTCCTAGGCTCAAAAGATCTTCTTGCTAGGCATAGTAGCTCACATATTTATTTGTTTGTTTTATTGATTGATTGATTGAGACAGGGTTTCTCTGTGTAGTTTTGGTGCTTGTCCTGGATCTTGCTCTGCGGACCAGGCTGGCCTCAAACTCACAGAGATCCACCTGGCTCTGCCTCCTGAGTGCTGGGATTAAAGGTGAGCACCGCCGCCCCCCCCCCCAGTAGCTCACATCTTTAATCTCAGAATTTAGTAGAGGCAGGTGAATCGTTGAGTTAGTCTATGTGTTGAGCCAGCCAGGGTAATTAATATATTACCATGTCTCAAAAAATCAAACCCCAGAGCTGTTACACAGAGAAACCCTGTCTCAAAAAACCAAACCAAACCAGAACAAAACAAAACAAAAACAAAAAACAAAAAGCAAAACTTAGACTTTCGGTTGTATGATAAAACACCATGGCCAAAAGCAACTTGGGGAGGACAGATTCATGTCAGCTGCAGTTCCGCAGCACCGTCCTGGAAGCAGGAACTGGAGCAGAAGCCGTGGAGGGTGCTACTTACTGGTTTGACAGGCTGCTTCCCTATAGTCCACAGGTTCACCAGCCCAGGGGTGGCACTACCCACCCCACAGTGATTTGGGCTCTCTTACATCAATCAATCAAGAAAATACATCCCGGGCTTGCCCACAGGCTAGTCCGATGGGGACATCTTCTGTCTGTCTGTCTGTCTGTCTGTCTCTCTAAATCCTGGTGTGATCAGACACCAACAGCCTGGGTATTGAACCCAGGTCCTCTGGAACATCCGTCAGTGCTCTTAACTACAGAACCATCTCTCTCCCCACGGGGACATTTTCTCAACTGAGGTTCTTTCTTCACAATTGGCTCTAGCTTGTGTCAGGTTGACAAAAACCAGCAAGGACACAAAAAAGAGATCTTGCTTCAGCCTCCGAAGAAGCTTGGGACTACAGGTGGGCACCTGGCTCTCAGCGAGTGTCTGAGACACATAGCTTTGGAGGAGATTCCCGCCCCCACGCTAGCTGGCCAGCGGCAAGAGCTTCTTTTCCACCTTAGACAGTGAGAGAGCAGCAACCCTCCACCCTTACACACACACACACACACACACACTTGTGCTTAGTTACTCAAAGCTCCAGTCCCAGGGTGGTTCAGTGAACATAGGGCAGGGCTTCTGCACTTCTTAGTCCAGGGAAACTGAGGCACCGAGTGGCTTTGTCCTCTCAGGGCTTCCCTCAGGCTGCATGGTCTTGTCACAAGCCTGCATATGTGTGTGTGTCCCGCGTGTGTGTGCGCTCATCGTGGTCCCAGCCCTCAGACGTGTGTGTCTTGGCATCTGGCACCTTTCCTTTGCCCCAGGACACTTCCCGGTCCCCTCTGCCCTCACTTCTCTCTCGGAGCTTTAGCTCTTCGCACTCCTGGGGCTATGTGGGATGTGGCAGTGACCTTTCTCTACAGCTGTGTGTATGTGATTGTGGGACCTGCGGTTTCCCTGGAGGAAGCTGGCTTGTAGCGAGGCCTGTTAAGGGTCTAACTAAGTTTCAAGTGTTTGGTGAGAGGCCAGAGGGGCTCTAAAAATAGAGTTTGGTTGGGCATGGGGCATGCATGGGTAAGCTTTCAGGTTTCCCGGTTGGGCCTGAGGATTCCCTTATTTCCTCTTTGGCAGGGACTAAGTCGGTAGCACTGGGACACACAGCCTTCTGAGACCACACAACTCAGCAAGCATTAAGCACCCCTTGGGCTGCGGGGGCTGGAGTACATACTTCACTGTCATTGTCTGAGTGAAGCCTGTGTTCACACTGGGTTTGGGGGCCCTGCATAAATAGCGTGTGTGTGTGTGTGTGTGTGTGTGTGTGTGTGTGTGTGTGTGCGCGCGCGCGCGCGCGCGCGCGCGTGTGAGTGTGCACGTTGGAGCTGGGGGCAAGTCTGGATACTGTGGAGGGCTAGGGTGGGGCATCTCAGCCTGGATTCAGCTCTTCAAGCCGTTGGGCCTCCGTGTTCCTGGCTCAGCTTTGGATCCCACCTACTCCGGCCTTACTGTCTGTCTGTTGGGGACAGCGGTGCCTCGTAGGAGCTTTGTGCAAGAGAAAGCATGTAGTTGGCCAGCCTTGTGAGTCCTCACCCCAGCTGACTCAGTTCCTGGTGTCTGCCCAACAGGGGGACCCCATTCCCGAGGAACTCTATGAGATGCTGAGTGACCGCTCCATCCGCTCCTTCGACGACCTTCAGCGTCTGCTGCATGGAGACTCCGTAGGTAAATCGGATCCTCCTCCAGAACCCCAGCCTCCACTGGTGCTTGGGAAAGTGGGGAGGGGCAGGCGGGGACACCCCTCTTGACAGGAGGAAATTAGATCCGTGGCACATCCCAGTGCAGGCCTGACCACACCTACCCAGGGCAGGGCAGAGTAGGCAGACGGGTTGGTACCTGAGACATGGGGTGTGGGAGAAGCAGCGCCCACGTGTGACTCTGGCTGGGTGCAGAGGGTGGGGTTCCCGGAGCGGGGCGGGCAGAGAGAAAGCTCTCAGGGCATGTACTGAGTACCTATCCAGGTGTGGACCCAGCTGAAGAGGGTAGGGCTATAGAAGCCATCTCCCTGCCCCTCTGGCCCAGCGCCTGGTCATCAAGGTCTCCTGGGGACACCTGGCCAGGACCAGCTGGCAGCCCTGCCCATGCCCAAGAGTGTACTGGGCAAATGGGCACGTGCTTGGTGGCACACACGTGGCGGGGCCGGCGGGTTGGGCTGGGAATGTATTTATAAATGCAGTCTTCAGAGCAAATTCCATTCTATTCTAACCTCTGGCCTGGTCCCTGGAGCCCTGTTCAGCAGCCCCCCCACCCCCACCCCCACGCACCCGCGGGCCCTTGTCCCTCTGGGGTCCTGTCTCTTTGTCACTTTGTAATCCTTGCCCAGACGCTATCTACGGGGGAACAGCATTTCCTGCCTTTGTTTCCTCTCTCCGTTGGGCCCCTGGCTCCTTCTCAAAAGCATTCCCGGGCCCTTTCAATACCGCCTGGGCTGGGGGGTGGCAAGGCAGGCGGGAGGGGGGGGCCCAGTTGGGCCCCCCTATTGTTCACCAGGGCCCCCACCCGGTGGCTCCCACCCGTGCCCGGCTGGCCAACCCTGGCCACACAATGGGGCAACTTCCAAATTTAGCTTTCTTGCCGTTTCTTTCCAAGGCGCTCTGCCGCCCAGCTCAGGCAGCCCCTCCACACCCCTGGTGGGGGTCGGGATCTTGGATGTGAGGTTTTTCAATAGCAGGCCTGTTTCGAGGCAACCATGTGGCTATTTTTTTCCTAATCAACTTAACCTTTCCACAAAGCACATCTCTCCTCATCTCCTCCCCACCAGGGACATTCCAGAGATGGCAGAGAGAAAGGAAGAGAATAAGGGACAGACAGACAGGCTGACGTGGTCAACGCTGTTGGGTTGGACAAAGCAGGCCAGTCAGTCAGTCAGTTGGCGAGCTGCAGGATTCCTGGGATCCTGGATGGGGTGGCAGCTGGCAGAAGCCTCTGCCTTTGATGGGACCAGTGGGCTGGGGGAGATGTGTGAGCCCCAGGGTGCCATAGGGAGGTGGCCGAGGCTGGTCTCCAGCGTCCCCCAGTGCATTTGGTGTTCCTCACTAGGGAGAGAGACAAAAGGGGCTATCCACCTTCAAGGTCAAGTTCAAAGTCTCCTCACCACTCTCTGCTCCCACTAATACCAGGCAGCCCTGGCCAATGGCTTGGGACAGCGAGGTGTGTGGGTGGACATGTCACCAAGGAGAGCTGGTGGCCCTGAGAGGAAAGGACTCCAGCTTAGAGAAGGGAGCTTTGGCTAGTGACAGGAAGATGAAAGCTGAGGGGAGAGCCGACCTAGTGTGGCTGGCGCAGGCCCCCACCCCACTCCCTTCCCCCTCCACCCTTTCTCTGCAGACCAGTAGGGCCATTGTCAAAGCTCCAGAAGGCTGGACTGGGCCCGCTAGCCCCGAGGGGATTCTGGGAATTTCTCCATTCAGCACTTCCTATGGGAACGCTTTGGAGGGCACTGGGAACTGGCCTCCAGCGCTCTGGGTCCCTGCTCCACCCTGGAGGCTGAGGAGGGTTCGTGGACAGTAGCAAAGGGTTATTTTTAACTCCAGTTGACATGGGTTCTGGCCAAAAATGGGGCTAAAAACCCAGAGTGAGGCTGGAGGCTCCCAAAGATGCTGTCAGGCCCCACCCGCCCCACCGAGACATTTGTCTGCCCAAGACTTTGCCCGGTTGCCTCCTCAGGGCCAGGGATCTCAGGTTTAGAGAGCACTAAGGGCAGGGTCTCAGAGTGTAGAGACGCTCTCCTCAACCCAGGCCTGTGGTAGCAGCCTGGGCCAGCATGCCTGACGGTGCTTTCTCTTGCAGATGAAAATGGGGCTGAGCTGGACCTGAACATGACCCGAGCACACTCTGGAGGCGAGCCGGAAAGCTCAGCTAGAGGAAGAAGGAGCCTAGGTAATACCACGGGTCCATATAGTGGCCCCTCGAAGGGTGGGATGCGGGGAAGAAAAGCCAGGGCACGCAGCCATCCTGGATTGGGAGTCACCTCCCAAATCCCTTCCCTACTGTTAGGACTGAATGAGACCTATAGCTGTCTTTGAAGTTGAGTGACCATTTCCTCTGCCCCGTGTTATGCTTTTAAAATACAGTGGTTTGCGTCTTTTGTTTTTGAAACAGGGTTTTACCACACAGCCCTGGCTAGCCTGGAACTCACTAGGTAAACCAGACTGGTCTTGAATTCACAGAGATCTGCCTGCCTCTGCCTCTGCCTTTACACTCAATTGCTTCCCCACACCAACTCTGGAATAGATGTGGTTAGCTCCGCTCCAGAGGCCTAGAAACCAGGGTGGAGAAACTGGAATGGAAGGACAGGTCAGAGGGCTTATTTGTCACACTTGAGCCCGAGGTATTCCGGGTGGGTCCTCTGTCTGCTGTGGCCCAGGGCTGCACTGTGGCCTAATGCAGGGCCACCAAGCTGAGCTTAGGGACTGCTGGTCGTTCCTTGGCAGAGACCAAGCCAGTAGATCTGTAGGCCTTAGAGAAGCCTTCTGGGGTGAAACAGGTGGCCACCTACAGATTCCAAGTCGCTGGAGCTGTGGCTGGCGGAACCTACGGGTCTCCAAGCCTCTGAACCTTTCTCTGTAGATGATTGAGCACCTGCTGTAGGCTTCACCCACCTCCTTCCTCTCAGCTCAGGTGAGAGGCATAACTCTGCTGTTAACCCCATTTCACAGATGAGGTAGATGAGGCTTTGAAAGAAAGAGCCACTTAAGAGTAGACCAGTGCAGGCAGGTGGTAGTGGCGCATGTCTTTAATCCCAGCACTCTGGAAGCAGAGGCAGGCAGATCTCCGTGAGTTCGAGGCCAGCCTGGTCTACAGAGTGAGCTCCAGGATAGTCAGAGCTATCCTGGATAGTTTTGTCTTGAAAACAACAAACAGCAATAAAAGGCCAGTGCAAGCCAACAGGCTAACAGTGGAGGAGGACTTAGGTGGGCCAATCACACAGCTGTGTGAATCTGAACAACTGGGATCCAGCACGACTGGACAGGTGTGCACTAAACATTTACGAGATCACATGGGATGATCTGATCACATGATCCTGACCATGCTTCTTGGGGGGTAGATCTGTCTTCCCTCATTTTCAGATGGGGTAAACTGAGGCTCAGGGTGGTCCAGCCACCTACCCAAGTTCAGGGCTATCTGGATGGGGGTGTGGTTCCAAAGGAGACAGCCCTCTCCTGACAGGCCTCCTCCCACCCAGGTCCCCTGGCAGCCGCAGAGCCCGCGGTAATCGCCGAGTGCAAGACGCGCACAGAGGTGTTCCAGATCTCGCGGAACCTCATCGATCGCACCAACGCCAACTTCCTGGTGTGGCCGCCCTGCGTGGAGGTGCAGCGCTGCTCGGGCTGCTGCAACAACCGCAACGTGCAGTGCCGGGCCTCGCAGGTGCAGATGCGGCCGGTGCAGGTGCGCAGACTCCGCCCCGCCCCGGGTCAGGCCCCGCCCCTAGGTCGAGCCCCGCCCCAGCGGCAGACCCGCTGCTGTGGGTCGAGTAGCTTTGGCTGGGTGTTCCTGGGACGCACTCTCTAAGGCGTCTCAGACCGTAGTCACCGAAAGTCAGACAGGGTGCGACCGGGTATGCAGTGCTAAGTAATGGACCAATGTCACCTGCTTTGCAGGGATACAGTCCCACAGTGTTCCTGTCTGCAAACATCTGAGACTTAAAAGAATGTTCAGGACAACTGCCCCGGCCCCCTCAATGCTCCATCCTACTCAGGGACCCCTACACTTAGGGCTTTCATCTGTCCCTTTGGCAAGCGTTGTCTTTAACGAAGATGCCACAGAGTGCCCTCCAGGTGGCAAGCACCATAGGAACCAGGGCCCCCACTGGCAAATGGCCCGGCCCTGTGGCCACCTTGTTTTTTGGAGGGAGTAGGGCACAGATGCTAATCTGTAGGAAGGACCCAGAGGCTGTGTCTGAAGCGCCTGCTCCCGTGTGGACAGGGCAGGGCACAGGCAGGCGCAGCTGCCTTCTAACTCTGCAAGACCGGGTCTCTGTACCCTGGGTCAGCCTTCCCTTTTCAGGTCCCCCTGGGCACACAGCACAAAGCATGCCACCAGCCCTCCCCAGGGCTCTATGTGGCCTTGCTCTTTTCCTGCCCTCTGCCTGTGGCCTGTGCCCAGTCTCTGCCTGTCTTCCACTCCTGGTCTATCCCTGTGACCCAGATTACAAATGAATGACATGCTATGCTTCCCCACCCACTGTCACCGTATCTCCTGTCCCCAGCTTTAGGGAGAGACACCTGACAGCTGCCTTCCCGGTCCCAGCTTCGCTTCTAGATAAGGCCTCTCTTGCTTCCTTCCAGATAACCATCTCCCCCCCCCCCCTCTGCTGCAGCCCCTGGCCTTGGCCAGTGCTCCAGGAATGAGGACCCACAGGACTCAGGCTCTACCCGGAAATGCCTTTCTCCCACTCTGGGGGGTCATAGTCGGGGCGGGTGTGTGTGTGTGTGTGTGTGTGTGTGTGTGTGTGTGATGTGTTGCTACAGCAAAGCTAGAGGCCAGGTCAGCTGAGTCGAAGGGCTTGTTTTGATGGAAAAGCTCTGAGAGGAGCAGAGCAAGACCTCGCTATTGTTTGGTCCAGAGCCTCCTTCTGCAGACAGGCTTTTGGCTTTCGAGGAATGAGCTCAGCTCCGGAGATTGCCAGACCTGTGAGACTGCTCCTGCCCGGGTGGCTTCTGCAGGGGCGTTCTGCTCGTTCTGTCCTTCAGGTGAGAAAGATTGAGATTGTGCGGAAGAAACCGATCTTCAAGAAGGCCACAGTGACCCTGGAGGACCACCTGGCCTGCAAGTGTGAGACAGTAGTGACCCCTCGGCCTGTGACTCGAAGTCCTGGAACATCCCGGGAGCAACGAGGTGAGCCACCTTCCTAAGGGCTGCTCTGCCTGTGTGACTTCCCCAGTCACGGCTGGGGAAGGGGTGGGTCTCTAAAATAGGAGTCAGGAGGCTGGGGAGAGAGCAGGGATGCTGAGCAAGCCTGAGGACCTGAGTTTGAATCCCTGGGAGGGCGTGGTAGCTGCGTCTGCCATCCATCCCAGCACTGGGGAGGCGGAGATAGGTGGATCCCAGAGGAGCATCAGGTGCCAGTCTAAGCTGTTGGTGAGCTCCAGGTTCAGAGACCCTGTCTCAAAAAAGTAAGGTGAAGAGCCATTGAGAAGGACACTTGACGTCAGCCTCTAACTTCACGTGTGTACCTGTGTGCACGAGTACACATGCGCACGCGCATCTACACACACACACACACACACACACACACACACACACACACACACTTGAACCCACACAGAGCATATACTACACACACACACACACACACACACACACACACAAATTATTAATGGAGATCAGATGGATAGCTCCCTGGTTCCATTTATTTGAGACTTTTGATCTCACTGAGAACAATCTAGATTCTTCCCAGCCTAAATGAGGCTGCAGCCTTGCCCTTATTACCAACCAGTCCCCTTCACTTACGCCATCTACCGGAGGTACACAGGTAAAAGGCTGGGCATCTGTATAGCTGGGACGGGACAGGTGGGTCTGACGTTCAAGCATCCATCAGACGAGTTCATGTCTTCGGTGCCACAAGCGTCAGGCAGTTAGATTCGAGTTGAAAAGTCTCAGAGGCTCCTCCTGTTTCTGTAGTGGAGGTACTTTGAGGTCCAAAGATGCTGGGGCCTTGCTCCAGGTCACACAGCCCATCCTAGGCCAGTGGTGTCCCAGAATTCCCTGCCTGGCTCTTCCCTCACCCTGGCCGCTCTCTTTGGCTTTCCCTCACCTGCGTTACCGTCTACACTATAGAAGAATTCGTGTTAGTACTGGAGTGTTCAGAATACTGAGGGAACTCTTCCAGGTTTATCTCTAGTACAGCACAGGTCAGTGCTGGTTCAGGAGGAGGGGGAGGGTCGAGGTCAGACTTCATGAGGTCAAAGTCAAGTCCCCAGTGCTCACGGGCTAGGTGTGCTCTGGGGATGCGACTGAACCTTCCTATGCCTCAGTTTCTCTATCTGGGAGTGAGGCAGGAGGATGGCCCCCCTTATGGGAAAGGGGAATGGATTCCATGGCAGTAGGGCTGGCCAAGCAGTGCCTGACCCAGGAGGTTATGTTTCAATGTTGCCCCCAAGTCCTTGTCACTACCCAGAGACAGAGGGGCTTATTTTCCCACTTCCTGCAGACGGCCTGGCCCCAGACCCCTCAGACCCAACAGGAGGTGCTGCTGGCACTAGGTACCCATCATGTACCCATCTTCAGAGGATGGACACAACCCACCTTGGTAGTTTGGCCACCTTGTCTCACCACATGGAAAATCTGGCTAGAGACGTCATTTGGGGACTGGTTGTCTTGCACCACAGCTGGGCGGCAGAAAGATCAAGCTACCCAAGGAGCCTAGTTCCCGCACAGAGCTGCAGGGTCAGGGTCAGGGTCAGCCACAGTACAGCGTGAGTGGTGGTGGCCAGTCAGGTGTTGGGGTGCAAAGAGAATATACCCCATAACCGTCACATGCTGACAAACGCTTTTTCTTCTGGAGCAGCCAAGACGCCTCAAACTCGGGTGACCGTTCGGACGGTGCGCGTCCGCCGGCCCCTCAAAGGGAAGCTTCGAAAATTTAAACACACACATGACAAGGAGGCATTGAAGGAGACCCTCGGGGCCTAGGGGCATCGGCAAGCGTGTGGGCAGGTAAGAACCTGGCAAGGAAGCCAAAGCTCAGACACCCTCTGGCTATGGCTCAGAATTGGGGTGAGGGCTAGCAGGGGCTTTTGCTCCCTTCAACCCAGTCACCCCTGAGTTTTTCTCTTGCTCTACTGCGCCTCAACCTCTCCAAGAGGGTGTCTGTCCTACCATTCCAGTTCCCCAGGACCCCCCCATCCCAGCCCTGGGGCCTGCTGGAAACATGACCGCCAGAGAGAGTTCCAGTTCCTTGTCTTGGGGGGGGGGGCGGCTAGGAGCCAAGGGAGCCCCTGAGCCATCTCTGACCCCATGCCCCTCTGCTCTGCCCACAGGGTTATTTAATATGGTATTTGCTGTATCGCCCCCATGGGGTCCTTGGAGTGATAATGTTGTTCCCCCCCGTCCGTCTGTCTCGATGCCTGATTCGGACGGCCAATGGTGCTTCCTCAGCCCGCGGCGGCATGCCCGGCCACCTCCACCAGCAGCAGCCCTTCAGCCTGCCCTGTGGCTCCAGAAACAAACAAGGGACTCCATTCTGTGCTGCTTCTTCCCGTGACCCCAAGAACCTGGGTCAAGTGTGCAGGAGCCTCAGGTGGGGGGGTTTGGCCTGAGGACCTCTGCAAGTCCTGCCTGGTTCCTGGACCCCTGGCCAGCCAGCAGGGAACACTTTCAGGCAGGCTAGGGTCCCTCGTAGTCCCGTGGCCAAGACCACATGGGGGAAAGAGAGGAGCCCTCATGGCACCCAGATCTGCCACTCATCTCTCCCTGTCCCCTCAGCCCGAAGTGGCGTTTCATTTCCTAAGTATGAAATCGTGGAAGATATGAACTCCTCCGGGCAGGTGGCCACACACACGCCTTCTCTGATGGATTGGAGGTGCAGTGTGCTTGTGACCTGGGCCACGCCCCCTGCCTCTCTCCACCTCCCCTACGTTCACTTCTGTTCATTTCTCTACCTCCACTCCATGTCTTCTTCCTCATGTACCCTTCAGTCTGCTCCACCGTGGGGTACTTGGATCCTGACGGAGGCTCTGAAGGACCCTGTCGTTCTTCCTTAGGACAGGAGCCCTGCCTGTCACATCCCGCACTAGCCAAGACTGCCGAGGAAGGCTGTGTGGGATGCGCGTGTCGCCCATGGGCACTGCATGTGGAGGATCCTGTTCACACCCTAAATACGGCCCATTTGTCTATTTATTGGGACTCTCTGGCAGATGTAGGTCAAGCCTCCGAGGAAAGGAAGCCTTGTGTTCCTTCGTACCCAGGCCCTGTGTGGACTGGCTGTGTGTGCCCTGACCAAGCCTGAAGCTCGGAAGGAGCTCGTGGTGCTGGGGAAGCAGCGCACTCCATGGCCTGTTGCCTCCACTTCCCCAGCCTCCGCTTCAGCTGTCCCGGATGGGACGCCAGGTCATCCCCAAGGGAGGGCCAGGCAGCCCCTGTTGTCCTCTCCTCTGCCTACACATTACCCCTCAGATCTCTGGTGGTTTTACCTGGTGGCTTCTTCCAGGAAGCTAGCGGGTAGACTGGAAGTGGGAGAGAGAGGGAGAACCCTAGAGCCCTCAGGAGGACTGGGGTTGACGCACCCACCTTTCCCCCCTTCCCCCTTCCCCACACTCTTCCCTCCCCCTCCCAGGTCCACTTCCTTCAGTTTGTAAAGTTGGTGATTATATTTTTGGGGGCTTTCTTTTTATTTTTTAAATGTAAAGTTTATTTATATTCCGTATTTAAAGTTGTAAAAAAGGAAAAAAAAAAAAACCACAAAACAAAACCAAGTGAATCTTCCGGAAGTCTGTCTGTTGGCATCGGGTGTGACAATTAACCTTTCCGTGTTGGCAGGATGCGCCAACAGCTTGCTACGTGTTCCTCTCACTCGGGGAGGCTAGGCACCATCGGGCATCCTCATGTGCACACACAGACACACACTCTCACGTGTTCGTGCATATTTGGGCCTGGCTCCAGGGACAAGCCTCTGTCTCGGAGAGGGCGGGTTGGGCCTGGCCCCAGAGCAGGACCCGACGACACCTTGGCCCTCTGGACCTGCTCTTCTGGAAAGACTCATTTCTGTTGAACTGGGGTCTCCAGGGGGATGCAGAACCCCACCATTGTAAGCGGCATGTGTAGGGGACTGGAGGAGGCCCTGAGTGGGGGGTGCTGTGGAGTTCATAGAAAAAGGACCAAGCATTGGGCTGGGCTCAGCTCTGAATCTGCTGTGTGACTTCAGGCCAGTCACACCAATCTGGAAAGGATTGGTGGCCGCCAAGGGCCAGCCCTGGGGTCCTGTGCCTTTTCTTCATCCTGTTCTTTGGGTGCTGGAGAGGGACCCGGCATATGCTAGGCAAACAGACTCCCGCCGAGCAACACTCCAGCCTTACCGTCTTCTCTGCCCATAGAGCCGTGGACACCAGCTTATAAACAAGTATTGTGGGTCCTCCTTACAGTGTAGAGTTGACAAGGAGCCCAGGAGAGGGGAGTCGGCCTCACTGAAGGGATGACCGGAACCTAAAGCCATGCTGCCCTGAAGTGCTGGGCTCCATGTCCCTTGATCTGTGCAAGGGCAGCTAGAGACCATCTTGGCTGAGGTGGAGGTTCCCATCCTTTGTCTGACTCGATTCGTTCAGTCACCCCTCAGGTCCTACCACAAGTGTCTGTCCCTGCCAGTGCTCCCAGAGCCACATGACTTGAGTCTATCCTGAGTCCCAACCTGTGCTAGAGCAGAGGGGTCTAGCCTGTGGTGGTGAGTGGAGCTGAGGGAAATGTCTGGAATCTCCCATCTGGCTTGACATTCTGATGGAGAGCCTCCCTTCCCCTGGACCCCCAATATCCAGTTTCCCAGACACCAGAGCCAGTGCTGGTATGGGGGACGGGGAGACAAAGTGGGAGGAGACTCACCAGGACATAGAAATTGAGACAGCTGCAGGGTCCAGGGCATGGGACATCTTGACAGCTGCCAACAACTGGGCTACTTTATGGATGATAGTAGGAACTTTCCAGAAGAGCTGCCTGGATCCTGCCAGGTAGCCACACTGAATCTGTGGACCTTGGGGGCCTGGTGGACCTTCAAATCATCAGATTAAAATGACATTCACCCCCAAAAAAACTCTTCCACTGGGAAAGACATTCTCTCTTTTTTGGGGGGCGGAGGGGGTTGGTCGGGTCGGGGCAGGGTTGAGACAGGATCTCACTATATAGCCCTAGCTGGCCTGGGACCCAACTGTGTAGACCAGTCTGGCCTTGAACTTGTAGAGATCTGCTTGCCTCTGCCTCCGAGTGTTGGCTCAGCGTCCTCTTCATGTCTCCCTTGTCTCCATGGTAACCCTCCAAGGAAAAAGCCACATGACTTATTTTATTCACTACTCCTTAGCACCTCACAGATGTCTGATGTGTATGTCACAGTCACTCAGAAAAGACTGCAGTGAAGGTCATTATCTGTTAATGGAAGGATGGAGTGTGTCTGCCGTGAAACACAGCTCTTCTGCCCACCCCACCGTGGTGTGGCTGGAACACTATAGACTGTCTCCTATAGTCATGGAGAGCCTCCCTTTTAGGAGACTATAGGTACCACTGTTGACAAGAGGTTTCAGTTTCTCACTAGCTCTCTGCTTGGCCCAGCATCTTCCTTGTTGGGGAGATCCGTGGAGACTAAGATCTGTCCAGTACCTTCTGTGTGTGTCCAGTGTCATCTCTCTCCACGTCTGTTCTTTTCACATCTCTCAGACCCCTCATCTGCCCATCTGCCCTTCCACCACCCATCCGTCATTCATATACACATCCATTTGTCTACGCATCCTCCCATCTGCCCATCCACCTACTCACCAATCCATCATTCATATACACATCCATTTGTCTACGCATCCACCCATCTACCCATCCACCTACCCACCAATCCATCATTCATATATGCCTACCTACATTTACTCATTTACCTGTCTACTTATCTGTCTATCCATCCATCCATCCATCCATCCATCCATCCATCCAACCATCCATCCATCCACCCATTCGTTCATTCATTCATTCACTCATTCATTCATCTACCACTCATTTATATACACATCCATTTGTCTACTCATCCACCCATCTGCCCATCCACCTACCCACCAGTCCATTTACTCATTTACCTGTCTACTCATCTGTCCATCCATCCATCCATCCATCCATCCACTCATTCATTCATTCATTCATCTACCACTCATACATATACACATCCATTTGTCTACTCATCCACCCATCTGCCCGTCCACCCACCCACTATTCCATCATTCATATATACATATATCTACCCATTTGCCTGCCCACTCATTCATCCATTCATCCATCCACATATTTATTCACACATTTTCTCATCAATACATCCATCTACCCATCCACTCATCCATCGTTCATATATTTGTATCCATCTGTTCATGTATCTACCCATTCATCCAACTGCTCATCTATCATCTACACATCCACCAACTCACCCATCCATTCATTCCTGATCCATTCATCCATTCATCTTCCTACCTATTCATCCATTAGTCTACTATTCACATAGTCATCTGTGAATAGTTCATCCACAAGCATCCATTCATCACTTGTCTATCCACCCACCCATCTATTCACACACTCGTGCATATATCCATGAATCCATCCATCCATTTACTGTATCCCTCATCCCTGATCCATCTGCTCCACTTCTTCCTCTGTTAATGTGTCACCCATACCATGTCCCACTCTCTGTCTTTGCCACCTCATTCTATTCATCTCCTAGGAGCTAGAAACCCACAGTGGAGAGGACACAGGAGCGATAAACACCAGGTCCCTGTTGGGGTCTTCTTTCCTGCCTTTGCACAGTCTCACAGAACTGCTGCAGAGGCTATCGACCCAAGGCCAAAGGCCTGCCCAGCATGTTTGGCCTGGCAAGGGGTGGCTTTGTTCTTTCTCCTCAGCATCCGGCTAACGGCTAACAGCTGTGTGGTGAAGTGGAGCTGGAACTGAGAGTGAACAAAGGGATTCAGATTCACTGCAGCAACACCGTGTGTCTGTCCCTGGTGCTGCGCTGTTCTCCTCAGTTCACCTGGTGCCCGTCCCAAGCCAGGTCTCAGTGAGTTCCAGTCCCCACCCACAGTCCCGTAGGGTACAACTGGTCCTCCTACAGATGGCAACAGGTCCCCGTGAGGGTGGACATTCGTGGGCCAGACCACTTCCTCCCCATAGGAAGTTCTGAGTTTGAGAACCAACTCAAATGTGGGTCTAGGGGAGGCCATATGTCCCTGGCCAGGTGGGGCTCCAGTCAGTCTTCTGAGCAACAAACTTAAGCCCTTCTAGACGATGTGTCCTTGTGGCCTGCTGGGCACCGTGTGTCCACCCTGGTCAGAGTGGACCATACGTCTGCTCGGCTGCTCTCTGGCAAGCCAGTGGGGAGCTGTCAGAGCCAGCCTCACCAGTGGAGACGGCATCCTGAATTCAGAGGACTGATAAATACAGTTGCACTCAAACTCTGTGGGATCCTGAGACAGTCTTTCGTCTTCAGTGTGTACACTCGCAGGCCATTCTGGGGCTTTGCTGCTATGAAGAAGAAGTCTTCACAGTGTTCCGCTTCATATCAACTTGACCATAGTCTGAAGACCTCACAGGTTGTGTTCCTGGTAATGTCAGGTCCAGCCTCAGCAGTGAGACATTCAGTATCCCATCCATCTACCCACTGACCCATTCATCCATCCATTTGTTGATCCATCACCTACACATTCATCCATCCTCCATGAATCCACCCATCATCCGTTTGCCTTTATATCACCTAAACATTCATCCATTCCTCCATTTATCCACCTATCATCTACCCATTCATCCATCCTCCATCTATCTACTAATCTATCATCCATCCACCCATAATTCCCCACCTATCCATTCATCTACCCATCATCTTCCCACTTAACCTTCTACCATTTATCTACCCATCATCCACATGATCACTCATCTAGCATCCATCATCTATCTGTTATCCACTTAACCATGTATTCAGCATCCATCCATCCATCCACTATCATTCATTCACCCATCCATCCACCCATCCCTTCCTTCACCAGCTGTGAAGGACCTCTGTGGAGACCCTGGTTCAGAGCATACCAAAATGCTCCTGTGGGGGTTGTGATCCCCTGTTAATGATGTAATTCATCATTCTACAGGCCAGGTCTGGGTTTCAGTCTTGGCTCTTGGTCCTGAGGCTGCAAGAATTCAGTTGAACTTTCAGGAAAGCGGTAGCAATCCTCAGGGTTTGCTCTCAGTTGTTCATTTTGTTCTGCTTATGTGGTGCTGAGGATGGAACCTGGAGTCTTGCCGTGCCAGATGAGCCACGGTGTCGCACTCCATCCAGGCTGAGCCCTCAGCTTTTGATCTGGGTCCTGAGTCAAGAATTCAGGAGTTGCCCGGCGGTGATGGTGCACGCCTTTAATCCCAGCACTCAGGAGGCAGAGGCAGGAAGTTTTCTGTGAGTTTGAGGCCAGCCTGGTCTACCGAGTGAATTCCAGGATAGCCAGGGCTACAGAGAAACTGTCTCAAAAAACAACAGCAATAAAACGAAATAAAAAAAGAATTCAGGGGTTTAGGATACTGTCCGCTGGTCCTCTCACTGCCACAATGGAATTCCTCCTTCCTTCCCTTCCAAGGACCAGAGTCACGGTCTTCAGTGGGCTCTTCAGTCCAAGTGACTCCAAATGGCAGAGCTGACATGCTGTCTCTGGCTGCACACCAGGTATCCTGGCTCCAGCTGCACACCACGGGCCTCTACAGCTGTCTTAACCAT